ATTTAGAAGGGTTTTATCTATCACAGTAAATTAAAATTTAGTTAACTCAAAAGTTTACAAAGTAAAAAACAAAATACCTAAGAAAAAAAACAAGAATAGAACTTAAATTTCAAAGAATTTACAGTAAAAACAATTTAGAAGGGTTTTACCTGTCACACTAAATTACGATTGAGTTAATTCAAATGTTTACAAAGTAAAAAACAAAATACCTAAGAAAAAAACAAAAATAGAATATAAATTTCAAAGAATTTACAGTAAAAACAATTTAGAAGGGTTTTACCTGTCACACTAAATTACGATTGAGTTAATTCAAATGTTTACAAAGTAAAAAACAAAATACCTAAGAAAAAAACAAAAATAGAATTTAAATTTCAAGGAAAATACAGTAAGAAGCAATTTAGAAAGGTTTTACGTATCACAGTAAATTACATTGAGTTAACTCAAAAGTTTACAAAGTAAAAAATAAAATAACTAAGAAAAAGACAAGAATAATATTTAAATTTCAAAGAAAATACAGTAAAAAGCAATTTAGAAGGGTTTTACGTATCACAATAAATTACAATTGAGTTAACTCAAAAGTTTACAAAGTAAAAAATAAAATAGCTAAGAAAAAGACAAGAATAAAATTTAAATTGCAAAGAAAATTCAGTAAAAAGCAATTTAGATGATTTATTGTGATAAATCCTTCCCCTATCAACACTAACACACTGTCTCCGTTTCTAGTGGAAAAAAGGCACTTTTAGTCTCCGTTGGGATACCGCTACATCCTCGACTGAAAAACGGTTGATATGATGAATGGTCCATAACACACGGCATCCAGAGCTTTTGTGATGTTCCTATAACATGAAACAGGATATTTTAGATAGATAATGATAATGAATTTTTTCGATTGTAGTTTCAATCATGTTCTAGAATATAATATTTAAGGATGATACAAAGATTTGCTTTTAAATTTATGAGAAAAATAAAAATTTAAAGTTAAATAGCCACATAATTTAAAATAATAATATAAGATACTATATTTTCAATTTATATTTCTATTATTAAATTTTTGCTGGCTGTAATACTACATAAAATTTTGCACAATAGTTCGTTATACAACGTACCCAAATAAGGGTTGAATTTTCAAAATTAAATCCGTAATAGCATTTCTTTATAATAAGAAGCTGTTTCTGTTTCTACAAGTACAACTACGGAATTAAGAAACTGTTATATTGTTATTTAAACACTATATTTAGGAGACAATTCTCCCTCACCCACCAACCCTTATAGCCACCCTATTCGTACGAATTACATTTTTTATTAAGATTACTAATAAAATTCAATTTGGTTTTAACAAATATGTCACAAAATTAATTTAGAAATGGTTTAATCACTGGTTTGACGTTATTTCTTCGACGGTTCATATTCAAATAAATGCACTTCCTTGAAATCGAACTTTGTTTATACGATTTTTTTATGCTGATCTTGTGAGTATTGAAGAAAGAGCAAAAAAAGATTCTTTTGGACTTTTATGCCTACTCGAAATAACTAATCATTACTTTTGGACCACCCTTCGAATTTACATTGAAATCTAAAATTATTATTTGTAAGTAAATGTGTAATTACAGAACTGTCAGCTATTGATTGAGTCAAAATTCACTTAAAATTATTTTTTTGATAATATTAAAGATTATCGATATTAAAAATAATTTATCAATCGTTAATATATCTGAGAGCTAATTATAATCACATATATTACATTTTATGAGGGGTTTTTATCTAATTTTCTTAATTTTAATTAATTTTCTTGTAATAAATCATATTCTTCGAAGTGGGTTTTCTTCAATAATTTATTACGAATATAGGTGTAGTATATAGTTAAATATAATAAAAATACAATCCTTAATAATAATAAGCTAGTACTTACTTTTTATCTTAGTGATGATGAAATTTGGAGCGATTGATATATTTTATCAATTTCAGGTTGAGATTTCATATCTGCTATCTCCGTGTTCGGACTGAAACAAAAGAAAAAGGGTACCTAAAGGTGTTTGAACACTGATTCATTCATTAAAAAAGAAAAGAAGTTCGAGTTCTTCAATATTTCATCAAGTTTCATTTATTATCTAAAATATTACACCCTAATATTTATCAATAGAACTAATTCAAGCAATGTAAGGGGTAAAAACTGTTTCAGTTATTGTATTTATAATCAAACCGACGTTTCGTTTTATTGTATTAAATCTTCTTCAGGATAGATTGTACTAGACATATACAGACAGTAAAAAATTCAGTTGCAGTAAAAAAGATTTAATTGAAGCTGTTTTAATTGTGAATGTCGTTTGTGTTAGTGTATGGGTTTTAATTTACTAATTTATTCATTACTTTATTCTTTTAATTGTTATTGTTATTTTTAATTATATGTTCATTTTAACTACACAGCCTTATCAGTTGTATCAATGATACAGCTGATTTCTATAGTTCTTTTTACATTTAAAATAGGAAAAGTTTATTGTACTTATACCTAAATTTATTTCGTTAATTTAGGTGCTTTTGTTTATTTTGTAGAAAAACATTACCTACCTCCCTTTTGAGCTTCACCACAATCGTATAAAAGTCGTAAAAAGACTCATTTCGGACTTACTATGCCACTGGTTTTAATATTCCTATTGAGAATTTTTTACTGTTAAAGCATTAGACACATTAATACTTTATTAATATTGATATCGTTTTTTTATGAAGAGCAAATTTACTATTTACTTACTTAATTTGTTACTTTACCTCTACTCCAGTATTTTTATTTTAAAATTAAATCTGTACTTTTTAAAGACACTGAAAGTCTTATTACTCACCGTTCATTCAATTATTTCTAAAGGTACTACCTCCCAAGTGACTAAATTTTACGTATTTGCTAAAATGAATGTAATATTAGCAATTTCTTTGGTATTTAGTTTAATACAGGACATTTCCATTTTGAATACAGAAGAGACACTTTAATACAGTCACAAAATGCTCAGCTGACAATAGCACAAATGGCTTTATGACACATCAATATAACCGTACTCCTGTTTCCTCGGGCAGTGGTAAATTCTGCCGGTTATTAAGACAGATATAAAAAGTCATTAAGTTAAAATGTAAATTCGGCCGCTCAGTACATATTGAGAGTAAATAGAATATCTATTAGACTCCGCCGGAAAATATTGGTTGCAGACGTACATTACAGACTTACCTTACACTTACCTTTTATACATTTATCTTCTATGTAACTAAATCTACAATATTACTAATTAATAAAAAACAGTTTCTTATGATACGATTTATTAACGCACATATGCAGTCATCTTAAATAAAATACATTTCAAAATCTCTGTGACGTTAGTTTGAGATAATCTAACATATTAATTTTTCCATCATCATAATCATTTGTCCTACACTGTAGATAGTCTCTTAGTTTCGAAGCTTCTGATTGTTTTCTTTTTTTATTTATTTGTACGTAAGAAAGTCGACGAAGGTAAAAATTCAGAAATTCAGGAAATTAAATATCTCGATAGTATTAGTGGTGTAGTTGTTGTTGCACTAGAACTTTTAGATACCTACAATTGCGGAGGCAATGTTAGATTTTCTGATATTTGGGTTTTATTTTTGATAAATTGAAGGCAAAAGCTTCTCGAACTTCTTGTGGATATATAGTAAGAAGAGTTCATCTTCCTACTTCATCTTTTTGTTTATATTCCTTAGTTATTCCAATGTTTTGAATTTTAATAAATCTACAACCTATTGGATTTATTTGTGATCAAAAACTATAAACGGCGTTTTGAACATTAATTTTGAAATCCCCAACAAGCTCGCACGGTCGAAGTATAAAGGAATTTTGGCTGAAGCGGTGAATTAATGATATTAAAAAACGATGCGACTATCAAAACAAAGATAAGAGAAAATACATATTACTTACAATAGTAGACATTGGACACATACATACCTAGAACCAATAAAAGTTCAAACGAAACGTTTCAGAGTTATATATAATATCCTCTCTTGATAGCATTTAATGTTAAAACGACGTCGAATACATGAAACTTGAACTTGTTTATAAACTAAATATGCAATTTCATTTCATACAGAGTATGTAAAAAAATTTATGTGCTGATCATAAACAAGCAAAACACGATAGCAAATAACTCTTCGCTTCCTGCTTTTAAATCTAAAGCTAAAAGGATTTATTGAATCTCTGATTGCATTTCTATTGTTGTCTTCCCCATAAAGTTTTGTTTAAAATTTTTTGTGAATCTAAATCATTAACTAATCGTATGTACTTCAGATTATTTTGATTTTAATTTTTAAATTATACAACCACTAGGTTGGATTTTGTCTGCATGTCTTATGGAGCATTCGTCATATCATCTGTTTTTCAGGATGTAGCGGTATCTCGACGGAGAGTAAAAGTGCCTTTTTCCACGAGAAACGGAGACAGTGTGTTGGTGTTGATAGCGGAAGGATTTATGACAATGAATCAGTAAGTAGTAATATTAATTAAATATAATAGATGTGAAATTTCCATTGAACTTTTCCAAAAACTTCAACTTTTTAGACATTTGTGACATGTTTCAAACAGTAATATTCCAGATCCATCAGCACACAGCGATGCAGCACATATTTTAATTTGTTTTTAGAATCATGCAAGAAATAAAACAGTAGGGCAAAGGAGAAAACAATTTTTATTAAATACTCAATTTTTGAACATAGGAGATGTTTTCCTACTTTGCTGTGCTTTACTTGAAAATGTTACTATTATGTTTGCTTTTAAGTGTATTTTTATTTAACTTCATCTCCTTGTTTAATAGTGCAATTAATTCGTATTTCTTGTCCGTCTCTACAGATTAGCCAATAAATGAGAGAAAATGGGAGTTAATTGTAATGCTGGCTACTCAAACACCTCGTGACTACCATGGTATCGTTTTCCCTGGATTTGTTCCATGATTTGTTGTTAATATCTTGCAACATCATGCAGTTAATTTTCGACCGATGAATGAATGCAACTGCAAATTTTGGATCTCACTGAAACATGAATTGTACCGTTTTTTCCTGCATTTGGTTTACTTTTCACACCTGTAAACTGGAACGTTATATTCTGCAACTAATTAAGGTGAGAATGCATGACACAGTTAATATTAATTACTCGTTATTAATTGATTACCACCCTATCTGTTTCAGATCGACGATGGAGATGACAAGGAACACCCTGTAGTTAAAATACTTCTTTATCTTGCATGCTCTATCCATTAGAATTAATTATTTATTTTGCATGTTTTTTTTGTAGTTTATTTTATTTAAATTAGTTTTTATTTTGCATGCTTATTTTTGTTCATTTAATTTGAAGTAATTGTTGATTGTAGATGTTTTTATTTTTTTTTT